CAACACCAAGAAGGAGTGGTCAGAAATATATGCAAATTTTAGAGTAGATGCATGTCACTGAGTTATGCAAGTGATGTGAAATGTCACAGCTCTCCGACGCACGTGATGTAAGATATAAAAGAAGGAACATGCAGAATTTGGGCAATATTCGTGTTTTCTGCCAGACGAATTATCGAAGAAAGTTGGTTTTTGTCCCGGAGGATATGTGTAATAGGAAAGAATGCCAAACCGCCATCAACGAAGGCATTTCTAGCAGATAGACAATTTTACGAGGGGTATGGTGATTGGACTGAGAAGGGCGGGCTGGTCCTTACGTCAAATCGCATCTGATAGCCACATGGATGCAAGCACGGTGCATCGGCTATGGCGAACATGGTTGGAACAAGGAAATGTGGGAAGAAGTAGGGGTGCAGGTACAGCCAGAGTGACGTCAGCACACGTGGATCGATGCATCTGCCGACAAGTTGTGGCAGTCCTGCAAGTCATTTGTACTACAATTTTGCAGCATGTGCAAGATACCCTGGATGTTCCTGTGTCGACCATAACCATTTCCCGTCGTTTGGTTGAACGTGACCTGCACTCACGGCGTCCGCTAAGAAGACTGCCATTGACCCCACAGCACAGACGCCAATGTTTAGAATGGTGCTGGACTGGAGCGATGAGGATGACAGAATGGCAAAACGTCGTGTTCTCAGATGAGTCATGGTTCTGTTTTCCAGTGGCAGTTGCCGCATGTGAGTGTGGCGTCAACATGGAGACAGATCTAATCCGGCAGTAACTGTGAAACGCCCCACTGCGCAACAACATGACATAATGGTTTGGGGCACTATTGCCCATGATTCCAGGTCACCTCTAGTTAGTATTCAGGGCACTATGATGGCCCAACGATACTTGAATAATGTACTGCGACCGGTGGCAATCTCCTACTATCAGCGCCTGCCTAATGCAATTTTTCAGCAGGATAACACCCGATCACATAGTGCTCGCATCTGCCAACATGCTCTGCAAGGTATACAGATGCTTCCCTGGCCACCGCACTCTCCTGACCTGTCACCAATCGAACATATGCGAGATGTGATTGGACTCGTTTGCAGACTCTGCCCCTGCCTTGTTCAGAAGACGAACTGTGGCAAATGGTTGAAAGGAAATGAAGAGCTATCCCTCAGGACACCATCCGCACTCTTATTGACTCTATGCCTATATGTGTTTCTTCGTGCATCGCTGTCCGTGGTGGTCCTACATCCTACTGAGCCAATGCCATTCTCGCTCTGTATTCTATCATTTTGAAATAAAGATCACTTATTGCTGCTTGCTGTCTCTGTCTTCTTTCCAAATTTCATCACTTTCTGACCACTCCTTCTTGCTGTTGCATTTTCAATGTCGAGCAGTATGTATATATATATATAATATATATATATATATATGTATTGACAATAATCATACACTTTACAGATTTTAAACAAGAACTGCATCAAAATTTCAAAAATACGTTTGAAAACTGAAATCATAGTTTTCTATGTTGAATGTAATTACTTTGTATTTCTGTCAACATTTACAGATTACATAAGGTTAGGTAACTGAAATATGAAAAGCTCATGAGTGCTATCTGCTTAAAGAGAAGGGATGCTTTCGTGAAGGCCTTTGTATGAGAAACTGGCTTACAAATGGGGAAAAACCATGAAAACCCATTCGCCTGAATTTGAATTCAAAATGAGCTACCAGTATTCGGAAACCTTAACTACTTGGCCGCTGCTGGGAGCTATTGTCTACAGAAGTACTGCTGTAGCGCATTGCCATAACAGGCTTGGAATCATAACAGACTTTGAAATTAGTCTTTGCTGAAAAATTATTAGAATTTTTACTACTTCTGCAGTGACAGATCACAAGCCCACATGTACTAGGCAGAAAATAAAATTTTGAATGATAATTTCAGTAACTTCAGTTGATCTTTACATTATGGTAACTTGGCGTTTTTTTGGCGAAAATTTGGCGACCAACTCTCCTACAGCAACCCTCTATTTTTTTTTTCCCGCCGCCATTTTGTCTTCACGAAGTAAAGACATGTTTCTTTTCATTTTATCTACTGAACACTTCTTCCAACAATCTACTAGCCAAATTACACTTATGCTAGAAATTTTATCTAACAAAACTGCTTAATCATGACAAATATTCACTGCAAAATTGGGAAAAAGTGCACAATACCATACTCCTTACGCGTTTTTCAAAATAACACATACACATAAACCGTGTACACGCCGAATCCCAGAATTGCACAAAAATGGCATTGCGCACACTCTTCACTATATCCCGTACAACTACTGCTTTTTTTCTCATAAATTAGAAAAATTTCACGAAAATACATGACAATTTTCTTCTCAATCTTTAAACCTGGTAAAAAGAACATATATGAAATTACCTGATCGCGAAAAAGTATTTACCCTTTCCAAATATGAACATTTCCACATATAAAATAAATAAATAATCCAAAAACTTTTACCTCTAAATCATCTATTACATTATACAACGTCACCAACGAATTCATACCGCAACCACTACAAATACTTAGTGTCAGATATTTAAATTATTTCCATGCACGTTTACTTCAACTAAAAAAACGTATACCAATTTCCTACAAACATAAAAATTCACAAAATAACTATCATTTAATTAAAATATAATTAAATTCAAAAACACTACTTAAAATATAAATGAGCACATACATTAAATTAATACATAAATAAATACCCATTTCGAATTCACTTTAGTTACGGCCATGGGATCCAAAAATTCACGAACACTGTTTCACACACACAACATAGAATAAAAGCCAAATACAAAATTTCCAGATTTTTTCCCGATTTCCCCCCTTTTCCCCCCTTTTCTGATTAAAGAACCGTAATTCGTCCATTAATATCACATGACATATCCCATGATCTCTCATTTCCCTCACACAAAATAATGCGTAATCGGAACTGAGTACTGCTCACATTATTACCAAAGTCCCAGGTAGTAACCTTTATCGCCTCCAAAATGTCGCCAAACTACCAGTTACCATATTGTAAAGATCAACCGTAACTTCTTTAATATACGTTAAACAAATATAATGTATGACATAATTTTGGGCAGAAAATATTACCATAATCCAGAAATACATCAGACAATGTAAAATTTCACACATGATGCATTTAAGCAAGTTAATAAGCATGTAATTAGTCCTCCATTTAACTAATAGTTATTTGTATCCATTTCAAAATTTTAAGTAAATATGGTACTATTCCATTTTCAGGACCGTAAAAAAAATCGCAGTGAAAATGTACGCGCTGATTTCAGATTGAGTAAGTTTATATAGTTTTATATTTCTTAAAGATGCCAATGAAATTATAGTTTAATTTTTTAATCCTTTTTTGATATCCTATGGATTTAACAACATGACAAAAAGTCTGCAATAGAATTTTGGGTAAATTGCAGAATCACCCACTGCTTGATGCGTTTTTAAGAATTGCACTTACTCGGTATCCATCTACACATCGACGTATTTTCTCTTTAAAAAAAATTTCCAGAATTGAACAAAAATGGTACCGTGCACCCCCTTGACATTATCTATGTACACATTGACCTATTTTCACTTAAAAAGTAAAAGAAAATTGACAAAAATCCAATTGTTTTTACCGTTGTAAAAAGCGGCAAACAAATAAGTGGGCGATTCTGCACTTTACTGAGAATTTTTTCAAAGAAAAAGCATCATTCATTATAGAAAATTATGTTTGAACAACCAACGAGATGAAATTATGCTTTAGCGATATCTCGGTAGCGAAATAGTGATGCAGGCATCCATTCAGTTATCTTTAGCAATTTTTACATAAATTATAATAATAAAAAAGTATTATATGAAATTAAACTTTCATCTAAATTAAAACATCAATCTTAGATAGTTATTTACTATTATACTTCCTTTCTTGTGTTAGGATTGAAGCAATTATTTTTGGCAGCACTGGCATCAACAATAGTTTGGCGATTTGTTACAGCCCTCAAAACTGAATAATACCTTAAATACATTGCCTACATGATACAACATATTACAATACTTTAACAATATAATACAATACTTGGTAAAATCCTAGTATACGGTGCAGCCTTGGCGTGACTTTGAAAATTATCGCCAACACCAGTAAATGATCCAAAGAACGTCTATATATATATTATACACACATAGTATAAATACTATATACATACTATATACTATGTTTAACTGTATATTTTCTTTGAATGACCCGTTAACTACTCATCGTATATGTCCCGTTTTTACTGCTCATCATAAAGTCGCCAAAGCCAAATCCCGTGTGCACCGGATACTAGGATTAAACCCAATACTTAATACAAACAATCAAAGGCCCAAGTTTTTTTAAACATACTGCCCCTTTCCCAAACAAATTTTTTGTAGTAAAGCTTGAGATGAAATTATGCCTGTTGTGTTGTTCATCCTTTAATAACACGAAACAAACTGAAGAAAATTTCAGAATTATTGTTAAAGACTGACAGATGCTTAAAGGATATTGATACACAATACAAATACCATCATCGTTCTACATGAAACGAGGTCATAAGGTAAAATTAATGATAAAATTGAATTAAAAATGAGCACGTAACTAATTACTGGCTATAATTAAACTATGGATACTGTCACAAAGGGGTAAAAAAGGATAATTCCTACCAAACTTACATGACGCCATGCAGAACATATTACATACAACAGACTGAGTATCTTCGATCTTCTGCAGAAACAGTATTTTTATATTGATTCATAAAAAGAATTAAAATAACATAATAGAATTATTGATGCTATCATAACAAATGAAAATAGAATTTCAGACATTACAAATAAAATTCTATAATGCCACAGCGAATTTTGTCACATACAGTACATACAACTCATCCATATTCTCCTGCAATATTTTCACGTCTTCATTTGATACCATTAAACAGCATAAAGCAAAATTTACCTTTAGATGATTTATCTTCCGATATATTTTGAGCTTCAAGGCGCTGCTTGATCACATATATCATTTCTCCCGCTAAGTTCAAAAAAGCAATCGGCAAAACTTTATCAGACATTCCTGTTTTTTAATCCCGCTTCAAACTAGAAATAATCTCAAAACACTCACGAAACACGCCCACGTTTCACTAACTGTAAACAAACACAATCACTTGGTAACAAACATATAGAAAGTAAGTAGAAGACCAATCTGTGTTTTTACCATACACTGTCTTGAAGCAGAAACACGCCCCTCTTGGTGACTAAAGCATTCAACAACTTTCCATGAGCAGACCGTAGTAGTAGAAAAGGTTTCTATTACGTTGTGAATATGCGCCTGCTGCCGATAAATACGGCAACCCTCAGTTTTTGTATATGAGTTTTTGCATATTTATTTAATGAGAATAAGAAAGTGTAATAAACAAATAAATAATACATGAATATTTGGCTCAGTTCACTCATAAAACGAAGATGACTTAGCTGATCACATTGTTGCTATCTTCAGCAAGTTATCACATATTTTAACACTGTTTTTTGCAGTGCCCATATAACAGAAAAAGTACCTACATTTCTAATAACAGTTTTTAAATGGAATACTATCATTATGAGTTATAAAATATACTTTTTATGTCTTATTATTAGGGCAAGTTATTAAATTATAGAATTTTTTAAAAGTGTGAAAACTAACAGTCTCTTAAGAGTAAGTTTTGAGAATTACGAATGCTGCCTTTTGACAATAGATGGGCGCTGACCGTTGCCCTGGATTTCTGACGTCAGAATTATGTGTTGCTATCTTTGGCGAAGTTTTCGCCTCATGTTAAAATACAGCTCTAGCTCTTGGCGCCATATTTTTATATGAATTTGTGCAACGTAACAAATATTTGCAAGTAAAACAAACGTGACAGTATAAGAACGCATCTGGTAAGTAAGGATTCTTTTTATTCGGGGTTAGTATTTTTATATTGTCCATATTACGTACTTTTTCATCAAAATTTTTTTTAATCATATTAATTCGAATAAATAAAACTTTTATGGTGAGTAAAGATCGTTTGGCCTAGCATGTGTGTTCAATGCAATTAGTAGTGAAAGTGCTCACGCTATACTGATATTTAGACGTGTTATTTAATTTTTGGTTGAAACATTTTCAGTTACCGAATATTTTTGAAATTAGGAAAATTACATAATTTCATATAGGAGGAGACATTAAACAAGATTTGCTTCTTAACATGCAAGAAGTTAATGCTATCTGTTTGAATATTTAAGTTTAATCATTATAGCATTTAAGAATTATCTTGTCTCCAGCAGTTTTTCGTAAACTAGCAGTTTTTGTACAAAAATGCTATTTAAAAAAGCGATGTAAATGTAAAAGCTAGTTATTCATAAACTGTTTGTTAACTGGACAATATTTCTTTCTATTTGTTAATTCTTTGTTATGTAGTGATTGCTTGTAATCATATTATTTGATAATCAGATTAATTTTTACTTGCTAGGTGTAGGCATTAATTTCTGTTCATTTATAGTTAAAAATTTAGGTAAACTGATGCGATATTTTTAAAGCACTTAAACATAGTTTATATTTGACCTTTATCAATTAGAGAGATCATGATTTTTTTTTTATGTGTTCTTTTGTTAACTTTTATTTCTTATAAAATGTGTTTATTCTATGCACACGATGTACGTTGTTTTCAGAAATAGCATTTAAAATTAAAATGAAGCTATCATTAATCAGCACTGTCAGTTTAGTAATTTTTACATATTATGAAAGCATTCTATATGTTTGAATTTGCTTCATATATAGCAGGGGTCTCCAAACTTCTTTAGCCTGCAGGACATATTACCCTCTTTTACTATCTTTTGACGGCCAATACGTATTAATTCATCACTCCGTGGTGATGTAATATAATGAATTTGAATCTATATTGCTATATATAATCCGAAGAAATGGGGGTTTTTAGAGACTTTCATGTTGTTTCATCACCTAACATGAATTTCTTAAAATTGTTTAAAACGTTTGCAAAACAATCTTGTCACAGCATATCAAAGATTTTCTTTCTTTGGTTTGTGATGTAATTTTACTTATTAAGTGGATTTCCTTGCTTGTTGTAACAATTAGAGCATCACATTTTGATCAGATGAAAACTCGCTCATAGGCATTTCATAGTGTGGGGGGGGGCTCAAAATGCGATGATAAATTTTAACATATACATTAAAAAAAATTTTTGAATATTTATAAACAAAATTGTTGCTAAAAATTTTTATGAACCAATCTAGAATACTACTACTATGAAAGTGGTATGGAACCTTTTTTCTCATAAAAAAAAATATGACAAATTTTATAATAGAGTGTTGGCTGTATTTACTCATTGTAAATTTAGAAACAGTAGTATATATTATAATATGCTTTGATTTAGAAAGACATGCATGACTGTAAATATATTTATCGATTATTTGTTATATAAAATAGTTATTGTGTATGGATCTTGCTTCTTTTAAATTTTATAAAACTATTTACAAATTGGTTGGCTGAATTGATAAGGCTCATGGGCCAAATTTGGACCACGGGCTGTAGTTTGGAGACCCCTGATATAGAGGGTAATGTTTTTATTTTATTACTGCTGCTGTGTAGGTTTGCAATGTACTAACTCAGTCTGTTGTTCAGCAGTTGTTTTTAATCTCTATTGGCAGAATCTAATTTGATGAATTTGATATTGCATAATTAAATTAGGTTAGGTATACTTACATTAGAGTAATGCACACCACATTGTACAAACCCTCCATCAATATAATATAAGAAATTTTTTCTTTCATCATCTGTAAAGCTAAACTATAATTTAAATGATTTTATTATGCTTTTGTTCTCGTTCTAGCATTTATTATTTTAAATTTGCTTCCTGATAGATAATTAATGTTTGATTTAATAATAATAATTTAGGAATAAAATAAAAATGAAAAGACAATATTAGCCAGTTTCGACACGTATTTGCAATTTTCCAACAAATGTAAATAAGTAAATGAATATTTTGAATTCTGCATATTAATTTTTCTCATTCTGTTATGCTTCTCAGAAATAAAATTGAATTTTCCTTTTCAAGCAGAGTTATAAACAAGAAATGAATGCTGAAAGTTAAGAAGACAAACATTTTTGTGTGTTTTTTTTTCAGTGTATCTACATTTTATATATTTTGGTTGGAATATTTATGACTGATATACAGACAGCTTGCATATTTTAAAGTTAGGTAAATGCTATTTACCGTGTAGTATTTTTTTTTCCAATATTGCTATGATTCACTTATTTGTAAATGTTTGATGATCAACTATTTCTCTAAACCACAGTATGACTATTTAATGATAAGCAATCTTTCTGTTTGGTAATGACTGTTCTGATAAGATTTAACATTTGATGATAATTTTAAACAGCATCTCTTAAAAAATCTTTAAAATGTATTTTACAAGGGAATTCACATATAAATTAAATATTAGCAAAAAAAAAAAAAAAAGAGTTCTGAATTGTATAAAGAAAAGTGCAGAGGAAAGCCTGTATTTATTTCTAATGATCTTTCAAGGTTGAATCATTTTCAGAAATTTGCTAAATCAAGTTTAGTTTTGTGTGACCTAGAATGAAAGGCACCAATAATAAACTTGTTTTGGCAATGATGCTTATAAAATACCCCTCCTCCAAAAAAGTGTTAAAAATTTACTTGTACTGTACCCTTGGCAATTTTTTAAAAAAACTTGCCCAAATCCAAGATGGCATCACAAACTGCTGTCTTAACAGATAGAGAGGAATAAATAACCAAAAAATATAAATTTTGAATGATAATAAAATAACAATTTTAATTTTTGTAACATAAATTTTCTGGGGCCTTTCTGGGGCCGTTCCTCTGACGGGCAGCTGGACTCTAAATTTTATTAAGTATTGAGCACTTTTTTTTAATTTGAGGGCGACAATCTTAGGAAGTACACAGGCAGCCAATGGCCTAGGAACAAAAAGCGCTGTAAATTTTTGTTTCGATAACTCCAAACAACATATTTCCTTTCACATAATTTCATCATCTCATGCTACACATAGACATTCATATCTCTCAAGCAATTAAACCAGCTTTCATGCAAAATAAAATGTCTGTCAATCCATCATCTAACCTATACAAAAATCTCAAATCAAATTTACAATTCATCATAATATAAACCGTCAACATTCATCCTTGTACTTACTTCAACTTCAGCAAGCATACTTAACATTAGCACACACATACTCAAATGATGGTACCGCAGAACAAATTAACACAGCATTATCAACATTAGGGCTTCCAAAAATATGTTTGGGTACAGCAAAGCTTCCAGATTTGGTAAAAAAAACCAAACCCTTGCGATTTTTTTTTAAGAAAAACCAGGGAGTGGCCGTACAATAAAGATTAGCCAAAAAAGTTGTCACTGTTATGAAAGAATGAATGAATAAATAATTGTCAGTATTATATATATTGTATAACAATTGATGTATTTTATGTATTTTGCTTATATATATTAAATTTTGCATAAATTCTCGTTTTCTTTAATTCCTCAGAGATAATTTTCTTTAATCTTATTTTTAATCTTTATAAATATGTTATTTTAGTTAATTTGCAGCATTAGTGCAAATTTGAATTTTATGTCTGATTTGAACATTTTGAATTACTTATATATATTTTCTATATACACACACACATACAACACACAGCGGCCATTAAGATTGCTGCAAAACCATGAAGGTTGCATGTACCAATGAGAGATTTGCATGAAAAATACTGTATGCTGGGAGGTGCAAATGATAAGCGTTCCAGTGCATGTACATGAAGTAGGTATGAGTAATCTACATTGTGTGTATGTGAATAGAAAGACTTGTGTGGGAATTATGTATGAATAGAAAGACTGCATGGTGAGTTTTCTCATTCAGAAATTCATTTTAATGTTGGTGGTGTTGGTTTGTGTTAAGGTTATGTTATGCCTCACGTAAAAAGAACTTCTTTCTATCAGCAGCATCTGTTAAATTTTTAAATTTTCGCTGCCCACAGAATTGTGGTTTTTTGTTCCATGATATACTGATTGAGATGCTATGATTATTAAGAGCTAATATGGAATTTGATGGGTCCAGGAGGGCTAGACTAAATGTCATGCAGGATTTCAGGGCTTTCAATCCACAGGGCTCCAATCCACTAGCACCGCAC